TGCCCTCCATCCTTTCCTTCCTGCTTCCACCTTTTCCATGTTGGATCCACAATTGCCAAAGAAATTTAACATTTAGACTGAAGACCTCAGAGCTACAGCCTTCCTCTTCTATCTTCTCTATAAACCACCAAGAAAAACACCATTGAGTTTTAAGCATCTGTCAAGCAAGTTTTCAAGTTTCAGCCATTTGCCTCTAATCCCAACTCCCGCTTTGAACCATATGCTTACCAATCCCTCTGGTACAATTTTAGTGTTGTTCAGACCTACAGAACAATCCTTACTGGTTTATTTCAAAACCAATGAGTAGAAACTTCTGTACAGACTTAAGGCTAGTGATGGAGCTAAGGAACCTGCCTGCCTGACAGAAGACTAAGCAAAGGATGCAAGGATCTGTACTGGTTTTGGCTGGGATAGAGCTAATTTTCTGCATAGTAGCTAGTACAAGGCTATGTTTTGGATTTGTGCTGAAAACAATGTTGATCATGCAGGGATGTTTTAGTTACTGGTGAGCAGTGCTTACACAGAGCCAAGGCCTTTTCTGCTTCTCACCCCACCCCACCAGCAAGGAGGCTGAGGGTGCATAAGAAGTTGGGAGGGAACACAGCCAGGACAGCTGACCCCAACTCACCCAAGAGATATTCCATGCTGTACGGTGTCATGCTCAGCATATAAAGCTGGGGGAAGAAGAAGGAAGGAGGGGAATGTTTGGAGCGATGGGGTTTGTCTTCGCAAGCAACCATTACATGTGACGGAGCCCTGCTTTCCTGGAGATGGCTGAACACCTGCCTGCCGATGGGCAGCAGTGAATTAATTGCTTGTTTTGCTTTGCTTGCACACGTGGGTTTTGCTTCACCTATTAAACCGTCTTTATGTCAACCCACGAGTTTTCTCACTTCTACCCTTCCTTCTCTCCCCAATCCCACCGAGTAAGCAAGCGGCTGTCTGGTGCTTAGCTGCCAGCTAGGGTTAAACCACAACAGCAGCTTTTAACATTATGCCTCTGGACTAGATTCAGCAGACTTCCCATATTCTATCTTAAAACAGTGTTAGGTGCATGGGAATTCTCTCACCTTAAAGTTTATGCCTACCAGATCAGCCAATAG